TTATTCGTACAATATATATCTATAAAATAAAACAGTATTATTTAGAAAAATATCAGAGTATAATCTTGATCGAGTAGTTACAGTTATTTATTTAAAAAAAATTCTTATTCATTCAGATCATGTTCTACCTTAGATTCCTCAAATGAAGAGGAATTGCATGTGCAATAATTTGATAATGTGACCTAAGTTCACATTAATAATATTTGCTCTATATCATGTTGATTGACAAAGCTCTATTGAAGTTCTAAGTCGTATGCTAAGAAATTTTCTTTTAGACTTGGAGTTATCTTCGACGATTATAAATCAAAATTTTCAAAATGACTTAAGTACGATTGTTGATGAACTTTGACGTCATACCCTAGGATGAGACATAAGATTCTTGAAAAATAATAGATGTGAAGGTTAGAAAAATCTTTGTTTAGAATCTACGATAAACATCACGTTTCATCAACTACTAACATAGGCATTTACCAAATAAAGGTTGACAATTTTTAGTAAGATCGTCAATTGGGATAAACATATTTATCCAGCAATCAAGTATCTTTATACAATAATCTCAACTCTCAAAATTGGTTTTCAGTTCGTCTAGACTCGAGAAAAACGAATTAATATATGTTGTATAAGATAATAAGTTAATGCAAATAATCAAATGAAATACACTAATATTGTTCAAATAATAAGACATTTTAAATGCACTTAAAATATGTGTGTATTGGAGACACTCTTTATCAATTATTAATATATAAGTGATAAAATTTTTGAAAATTACACATTCAACGACCATGTTAAGACCAAAAATCCTCGATAGTGTGTGTGAGTGCCTTAGATTGAGATTCTAAGTCAACATATAAACAATGACCACCGGTTGAGGTTTAGTATAAATTTCAAAAATTAACAATGGATACATATTATATAATATACTAAATTTAAGTGTCTGGATAAAAAAAACATCCAAAATGGAAATGAGTCTATATTAGAGAATTTAGTCATCATGAGGGCTACAGTGTGTGTCAAGTTTCAATATGGATGAATAAATCCAATAATGAAGTATCTTTACTAAGAATTTCTCACTAAAAAATCGTAATTTTTACAACATTGGTCGAGAGTTCGTCCAAACTCAAGGATCATGAATGTGTATTGGATTTACAAAGGACCTAAAATCCCAATCCCTTTCGAGGGCTAAATACCTCTGATCACAACCATAGGTGCTAAAGTAGAATGAAAAAGAAGCCAAAAAAGCAAAAAAGAACATAAACTCTGATAAGATGAACATAATAAAACCATATCGAGCTATGATCCCGTCATCCCTACCTTTTTATATTTTATATATCGAACAAGAGACAACCCCAATGGTTCTATGGCGTTATGGGGGTAAAAGCGAGATCTCTAGATAATTTTGAGTGTAATACACACACATATATATATATACATGTATATGTAATATCAAGGTATACTATACTTTTTATGTAACTCAAGATACGATAGAAGATAGGTATTACGAAGTATGTGCATAAATTAGAGGTTACAAAATTAAGGACTAGAGTTCACCTATTAGAGGTAGGGTATAGTATAATGCCCCAAAAAAATCCGGTTAATTCGGGTCTAAATAGTAAAACTCAATGGTTGTATGGTAGTATGAACGGAAGAGTATAACGTACTCCTGGCGCACGCTAGCTTGAACTATATATATGTGTGTGTGGTTTAGGTTGGCGTACGCTAAATATTAGTGTTTTGGTTGACAAATTTTGACATAAGTTCTAAATGGGACGTGACAGCGACATAATTTATGGTTCGAAAACCGAAGCATCACAAGTGAGTGTGCTAAATATTGGAAATTTCAATATAGACATACTACAAACTCTGTTACAAAATATTTAGAAGATCCAAAATGATTTAAACATATAAATTATAAAATAAATCTCTCCGACCAACGGGCGGGTAAAAAGCTAGTATAGAGTATGCAGCAACTATTGTTTGCATCTTCAACTACTATAGAGTATGCCGATTCTTACGCCTCTAGCATTGATGAAGGAGCTTGATGACATGGGGAAGATCAATGCACAAAACGACCATTGAGTTTCTTGAAAAAAAGCGCCATTAACAGATGAATTGTGGTTTTATTCCTCTTCAGAAAACTCTCCTACTTCAAACACACAGCCAGACCTCTCACTTTCACTCTCTCTTGCTCTGTTTCAGAAGCAACTAACTGCCGGCCATTTCTGTTTCTATCTATTCGATTCACTTTTGTTCCCTCTTTTTCATTTAGCTACATTCTCCACATGGGTTCTCTGTTCTTGACTAGATTCTGGGATCCTTGAGTAGGAATTGATTGAAATCGTTAGATAGTAAAGATTGATAGATAGATAGATAGACCCGGATCAGGAGGAAGAAAAAATGTCATTCAAATTGAGAACAGAGCAACAGTACTCTGCCTCCAATAAGAGCTCTGTTGTATCTCAGAAATGGACGCTTTTCCTCTGCCAATTCCGCAACATCAGCCTGGCCGCCAAATGGTGCCCTTCGTTGGATTCTTCGTACAACAAAGCGACTATGATCTGCGAGAGCATCGCCAGGAGAGTTTTCCCAAAGTAATCAGATCCCGAATACAAAAAAGTCGAGGATCTACGCGTACCGCGTGAGGGATCGGCTGAGGAAGCAGGTTCCAGCGATTCCCACATGCAACCACTCATTCGTCGACATCGCTCTTCTAGCTCCGATTCTTCTCGCCTCGGCTACAACAATTGATAGTGATTGCCCGCGAGGGATTGTGGCCGCTGCTGCTGTTGCTGGTGGTCGCGAAACCGTCGACGGAGAATGAATGTCGGAGGGTCCAGAATAGGGGAGGCGGAATCGGAGGATAGGGTAAAGCGGAGAAGGAGAAACGGATCATATATTTATTGAATTTTATTTTATCAGCGATTGTGTGTAATTACCCCTATACCCTGTTGTTACTATAACAACACTTAGGGTGTTGTTATTCTATCCAGGCCCGCTGTTGAAAGCAAAAGAGGCACGGTCCTTGATGGAGTCACTGAATTGAAGTAACAGGTAGCACCCTTTTATATTTATATTTATTTTATAATTTGAAGTTGTACATTTAACGCTACAGTACAATTTTAGGTTGTACTTATATTCTTTGTATGAATCTCTTTATGGTACAAACTAAGGTTGTATCTCTTTGTATTATAGTACAATTTAAGTTGTACCATAATATAAATGTGTACAAATTCACTTCACGTACAAGTTCAAATTGTACTTTAAAAACACCAACATTTTAAAGTATAGTAAAAGTGGTATGTCACAAAACGACCCATGCACTATAAAATACGCATAACTTACAAAATAAAATTGTGAAAATTAGCCTCATATTCTATCCTAATAGTAAAAGTGGCATGTCTTGTTCGTATTTTATTGTGGAATTTCTTATAGGATTATTACGGACTTTGGAGGCATAGCTTTCCTAATTCATTGCTGCATACCAAATTCCAAATACGAAATATATGGATTTCAAAATCCATTTAACACGTGTGTTTCCCTTTTCTTTTTAGAAAAACAACAGAACCAAACCCTATAAATAATTAAAAAAAAAAACAACTATACACGTTCCGCTCCACTTCAATCAACATTACGAGAGCGGATCTAGTGACTAAGGGGGGGTGCTTAGTCACTTGACTAAGCCCCTCCCAGCCCTTAGATCTGGACACTTCAATCCAATGGTTAAAAAGTGGGAAGGGCTATTTAATTAATGACAGGGGTAGTTTGGGTATTATGGAAAATTATGAAGTATACAAACCAGATTTACAATCAGTACAAACCATACAAACATACGAACAGTACAAACTAGAGCGACAAAACATACAAACAGATTTACAAACATTACAAACGTATGAACTGTACAAACAATACAAACTAGACCGACAAACAATACAAACCATACAAAAAGAAAAAACAACCGGGTTGACTTTTGAGGCTCCATCCCTATATAGAGGGGCTCCTTCCCAAAGTCAACCCGAGTGTTTTTTTAGACATACAAACAGTACGAACATGGTGGACAAAAATGACAAACTAGACCGACAATCCATACGAACGGGAAAAAACTCCCGGGTTGACTTTGGAGGCTCCATCCCTATATAGAGGGGCTCATTCCCAAAGTCAACCCGGGTGTTTTTTAGACATACAAACAGTACGAACATGGTTGACAAAAATGATAAACACGGTACACAAAAATAACAAAGTTTACAAACATTACAAAAAAAACCGACAAACATTACAAAATAACAAAGCGTACAAACATTACAAAATAAATCGACAAACATTACAAAATAACAAGCGTACAAACATTACAAAATAAATCGACAAACAATACAAACCATACTCTCTCTCTCTCTCTCTCTCTCTCTCTCTCTCTCTCTCTCTCTCTCTCTCTCTCTCTCTCTCTCTCTCTCTCTCTCTCTCTCTCTCTCTCTCTCTTACGTGGGATAATTCCCTTTCCCATACAAAACACCCACAGACCCAAAAATTGCGACCCTCCCTGGAAAAAATGGCGCCGGCGAATTCCCAAGTAAAGGGCCGGCGGTGGGAGGGCGGAGGGACAGCGTCTGCGACGTGACGGAGATGCAGGCCAGGGCCATTATATTGCTGGCCGGCGGCAGTCAGGAGGTGGCGGATGACAGATCGACGACGAGTGTCGGGATGGAAAGTCCGCCGGAAACGCAGCAGCCTTCGGAGGTTGTCTGTCGCCGGAACAGGAAAAAAAAACCGTAAGCAAGCAGGCGAGTTTTTAAATTTTTTAATAATTAAATTTAATCAATTTGTAATTACTAGATTACCCTTCATTAAATGAGATCAATTACAACCCTTAGATTTTAATGAGGCTCAATGGTTGAGATTGACTTAGTCATGTGACTAAGGGACCCCCCCTTAGTCACCTGATCTTAGCCCCAACATTACCTCATCGAACCAAACAACAGAAGAAGAATCATCGTAACCTTCCATCGAGCATGTTGCTCACCATGGACGACGTGAAGGAGAAGCTCCACTTCTCCAGCACGAAGAAGAAGAAGCTAACTCCTTTCGAGTGGCTGCTCGATCGCCATCACTCCCATCGCCTTGGAGAAGCTTCACCGCCAAGAAAAACACGAAAGGCTCGCCATAGAGAGCCAACTCAAAAAACCCATCATCCCTTCAACAACAACAACCTCAACAAGAACCCTAGGACACGACGATGACGACCAAGATTACTGCCAAGAAACAAGAACACCGTCGATAAAGCAAAAACGCAACGTGTTCGAACGTACTAGAGAAGACAAGAAGAAGAAGAAGAATGTGAGGACGATGAGGAGGAAGATCGACAGGGACTACTTCGTCGACGATCCACGGCTCGAGCAGGCCACGATCCCCGAGAGGTTTCGACACCACATAGCTAGAGACGAGGCTGAAAGGGAGGGACATTAAGTTGATAGTGCAGAAGCGGCTCTACGAGTCCGACCTGAAAACCAGAGAGGGACGGCTGTCCATCCCGGCGAAGAAGATGTGCCAAGGCCTGCTGACGACGAAGGAGGAGTGGATGAGGACCCGGGACCGCGGCGAGGCGGTTCCCGCGATGGAGCTGTTGCTTCTGGACCCTGAGCTGGGGGAAGGCAAGATCGTGTTCAAGCTGTGGGAGATGAACAAGCCGAACGGGACGACGAGCTACATTACTGGAACCATGTGGTTAAGAAGCATGGGCTTAAGACAGGGGAAGTGGTTCAAGTGTGGGGGTTTAGGATGGGAGAGGATGAGCCAGGGAGGTTAGGGCTTGCTTTGGTCAGGCTCGGTAAGGAAAATGGCGGTGAGTTTTGAGTTAGTTGATCATGTGATGGAGCATACGATTGTGCTGATATAGGGTGAATTTGTATATCTATGGTTAGGGTTGGAAGTATTAATCTATTTGAATGGAACGATGAATTCATTGTATATACTATATATTAATGGTCGATAGTTCTGACGGTTTGTTTAAACGATCTGATTCGGTTCTTATAACAAGGATAAAACTCATGGTTGAGATTCGTCTAAGTATACATATGTAAATTTGATTGAACACCGAGTTTATTAGCTTATATGAAAATCATTTCAAGCTTTTACCAAACCTTTGAAGACATAGATGCTTATGCTCGATGTTATTGGGATGAACAGCCATACGAACAAGAGATTGTTCTAATGATAATATCACAAGTCTTGAACCTGAAACTCTCATGTTTGAATCAGAATGTTCGAAAAAGTTAAATAGTACCTAATCACAAAAAAAGTAAACATATATCACCCTCATATAAAAAAAATATCAACCATTGTATATCCTAAGGGCCATTCCAAATTCTCCAAAGGTTGGTCATAAACTAGAGAGCCATAGCTCCAACTTAAAAAAAAAAAACACAATCGAGGTAGCATTAACAAGTAACAACAGGTTGAGAAAGAGATGGAAAGTCTTGTGAATTGTGATAATGTCTGCTACAACAGAAGGGAGACAGCAAAAGCGAAAATGGAGAAAATGCAGTCCATTTAAACAAAACATGTACACACGCAAGTTTTAACTCTTTGATTTGAAAAATGGGAACCCTACATATGCACAAAACAAAGGGATGTTCTAGATCGATAACTCTGATACTATAAAGCATCAAAAAGGGGTTTCAGGATAGCTTAAATATGATCACATCAAAGTTCAAACCTGCCCTCAGTAAGCTAGGTCGTTAGAGCAAAAGCTGCTGGAATTTGTGAAAAGCCTCTCCCCAGTTTCTGCTACTTTCCTAACCGAAATTACTGCTATTATCCTGTTTCCACTAGCAACTAAGAATAACAGAAGGACAATGACTATCAAGAAGTGCACCGAAACATTCTGCATTGCATTTCTTCATCTACAGCAGCCGAAGACTATCACCATTGTTTATACAAGCCCAATGCAATCAAGGTGCATCACGATCCATGAATGATTCTAAAATAAGTAACACAGCACCTTAATTCAACATACATAAGCTGTAGCCAAATGCAGAGAGCAATTGCGCAACCATTTACGAGAATGCTTATACGAAATCCATGAAATCCACGAAATGACACATTCACAAGAACATTCCAAGCTGCAACTTGCAGGTATCAGTGAAGAGTTCAGAATTCTTGTTCAAACTGACCGAAGCTAAGCAAAATGCAAAGAAACCAATGAAGGAAGCCATACTGACATATTCCATTTCAGTAGCTGCCAAGTCAAAGCACAAATTATTTGTCAAAAAAAAAAAAAAAAGTCAAAGCACAAATGGCCATTTGCAATCCAAGCTAACAGAGGAAAGTGAAGAAATTTTTCACATTGCAGAAATCCCAGAATTTGAAGATTATTAATCGATTCACAAGCATCCTTATACTAATCATTTCCACCATGAAACAAAATAAAAAAAGACTATGGAAGAACAGGAAAAGCAAGTGGCATGCCATTTCCAGGAAGGATTCACTGACACTTAATAGAAAGAAAAACAAATATCATCACAAAATGGTCCTTTTGCAAGGGAACCTCACTTACCATCCTTAACAATATTATGGACTAAGATGTTCCATGTCACTTGATTTGGTATAAACTTATTCTTGACACCTCTATCCAGAAGTGAATAAGCATCATCGACCATTCCTTTTCGGCAGTGCCAGCAAATCAAAGTGTTATAAGTCACAGCATCGGGTTGTATGCCTTCAACCACCAGTTTGTGGAAAATATTCAATGCCTCGTCGACACATCCCATCTTGCAGAAACCGTTAATCAGGCTGTTATAGGTGACGATGTCAGGTTCGATACCTCGATGAATCATGTCTCGCAAAAGCTCCATCGCATTGTTCATCTGACCAGCTCTGCACAGGCCATTGATCACTATGTTAACTGAAATATTACTGGGAACCAAACCCTTCCTGATCATTTCATCAAACAAGCCTAACCCTTTCTCCACCGCCCTAGCTGTACATAGTGCACGTATTAAACCATTGTAAGTTGTCTCATTCAAAGCGCACCCTCGAAAAACCATGTCGTTCATAAGCTTGATCGCTTCCTGGATATCATTTCGCCTTAGGAAAGCGTGAATTAGAGTATTGTAAGTAACACTATCTGCAATCACACCTTCTAACACCATATCATGAAAGAGTCTCATGGAATCCTCCATAATATTGGCCTTGCAAAGACCAAGGATTAGAGTGTTGAATGTAAATATGTCAGGCTTGCATCCTTTGCTCGACATTTCACCAAAAATTTGCATAGCTTCAGACATATTCTCACATTTGCACAAAGACTCCTTGAAGACAATCCCTTCCTCCTTCATCTGGACCAACAACTTGTCTATAGATTTGAAGTCATTCGAACCACCAAGCTTATCAATTAAAGCATAGTATACATCGAATGTGTGCATGTAGCCCTTCTGAGCACCCACCCGGTTGAAAAGCTCCATGGAAATGGAGACATCGAGAGGCAAATGAAGCAGCTTGCAGAGCTGAAAAGGGGTGATTCTATGACTGAGTGTCCTTCGAAGCTCTTTGAGGTCAAATGGTTTAAGCAATCTTTCCCATTCATTTTCCTCATTTGAGCCCTTGAGCTCCAACTGAGAATTGGAGAAATAACGATGGGAGGTTGGCGGGGGAAGGATTATAGATGGGATTCTAGGAAACACTTTCAGCTGAATGGTTGGACAGGAAACAAGCTTTCGATATGACCATCTGGACATTAGTTTGCAATTGAAAGATAAGAATTTTCGTATGGGGCAAGCTAAGATGAAAACTCAAGAGGCGACGCATTAAGGTAAAAGACCACATATTTTCCCATAATGAATAAAGGGGAAGAACAGAAAACCAAATGGAGACCCTTAATACATCACAAATTCACAGTTGAGCAAACGAAAGCCAAGTCTAACAAGTTCAACATAGAAGCAAGGTAGGTGCAGTTACATTGCAACAATAGTCAAGCAAGTTCATTACATCAGCTTCAACTTCCACAATTACACACAAACCCATTTCACGAATTCCCTACTCCTTCCAACTAAATCATTTGAAGCTACAATTGCATTTCCACACCGAATCAGAACGAAAGCAAAGGCCAAACATTTTCTGTATGATTGTTGGCACCAGGGTTGAACCCCGAAGCAAAGCTCAAACCTTTGAGTACAAAAATTGAAGCAGGCAGGAAAGGGGAAGCAATTTCCCAGATAAATTTGCAGCGGAGAAGGAGTAGAGGCAAACCTCTGGTGGGGTCTTCATCAGCAGATTGGAAATTCCCGCGAGAACGACGCATTACCCCCAAAAAGAGTCAAATTAAGCTCTCGCGAACCAGCAACTCAATGCTGAGTGAAGTCAAGCGGGGAGCTCCTTGCTCTAGGCAATGATTGTGCGGTAAACTGAAAATGTTTTTTTTTCGGTTCTAATGGCTTGAATTTTAGAAATCTGGAAAATCCTATTGGGTGTGTTTGGTTGGCGATAAAATTTCATTTGCTAGCCATCGGGGATAAAAATAAAAGTCAGGCTTGCCGTTCTTTTGCATTTTCCTTTTTCGATATGGATCTTCTTGTTATTCTGGACTGACCCATTTAAACTGGGCTCGCTACTTGGTAGGATGGCAATGGGGCGGGTTTGCCTAAACCATCCCCATTTCCATATACCCATACCCATCCCCGCCCCATATCCATGCGAGTGGAGGATTTGCAAACCCATCCCCATACTCGCGGGTTTCGGGTACCCATGGGTAAGTAATACCCATCCCTATGTATGCATTACTTCTACACCTAATAAACAACATGCATTCTTCAATTATAACACTAAAACAACCAAATAATTTATGAAATCAACAAGGTACAATCATTCTTAATACGAAAAAACATCCAATCCTTTGTTTAATTGTCTCGTTGCATATACAATAAACACACAGAAGACACAAAATACAAAGAATTGAATTCTTAAATCTACCTCGTTGATTTTGGCCGCCGATTTTTTGCCGTCGCTGGGTGGGGAAGAGAATGACTGTGGCGACGGGATTGGGCTGAAGGAGGTGGAGCTGGGCGGCGAGCCGACGACGAGATTTGGGTGACGAACTGGGCGGCGACAGGATTGGGCTGAAGGAGACCTCCGTGGAGCTGGGCGGCGGGATCTGGGTAACGAACTGGGCGGCGACGGGATTGGGCTGAAGGAGACCTTCGAAGTCCGAACCTGCGCGTGGAGCTGGGCGGCGAGCCGACGACGAGATCTGGGTGACGAACTGGGCGCACGAGAATGACTACAATTGGGACCTGTGCGTGGAGCTGGGCGGCGAGCCAGCGACGGGATTGAGTGGTGACTTGATGGAGGCCAGGAAGAAGAAAGAGTTGGACCTCCAGGGCCAGGGTGGCGGCTGGCCGGCAGCGGGAGTTGACGAGCAGCAGCAGGGAGTTTGGGAGAAGAGCGGCTGCGTTGCGGGCGGCCTGTGTGAGTAGGGAAGGAATTGAGATGCGCTGATGGTGTTTCATTTAGTGTTTTGATAAGACAAATTATCTTTTAGTCATTTATATTTTTTTATTTACCCTTCATGTCATTAACAATTTACAAACAGGTACTTGTATTTCTAGCATATAACAAATAAGTTTGACGCGTTGGGTATGGGTATGGGGCGGAGCACCTAAAACAAAACCCGCCCCATACCCATCAGATTCTTCACGGGTTTTACCCATACCCGCCCCATACCCAGTCAAAGAGGGGATTCCCCGCGTTGACTGGGTCGGAGGCGGTCGGATACCCGCGGCGGTGGATATGATTCCCATCCCTACTACTTGGCCTGGCTTCGTTTTCGAGGAACCCACATCTGCGACAAAACGGCCCAAAGGATCTGAGTTCATGGACAAAAACAGTGTCACACGACACGACTCAAAAGCACTTGCCGATCTTCCGTTGCACACGCTATTGGTAGCTATTAGCCAGCTCTGCCTTTGCTCTATGGAGCCCGCCATTGTTGCTCCTCTTCTCATTACACTGAAGGATAACTAATGACAACATTAGACATTTTTGGATATGGCACATGTGAGGAAGAAAACAATGGACTTCTAAGTAGGCAGCTACCAAACACTTACCAATACCATCCACCATATATTAGACGATAAATAAATAATGTTAAATTGTTATAATATCGTTGGGCTTTAAATTGGATTTTTCCAGAAATAGCACTGTTTAAAAAAAAAAATTCCAAAAATAGCACCTAAGTCCGAAAAATTCCAAAAATAGCACCCTTTCCCAAAAACCGCTACCTACCAGTGCGGTTTAGGCGAAAACCGCCACCCAGGGGCGCGTTTTTCGATGAAAACCGCACCCCTAGGGGCCGGTTTTGCAGATCGCACCCCCACAATGCGGTTCGGTTGCAGATCGCACCCCCACCATGCGGTTTGGTTGCAGTTCGCACCCCCACCATGCGATCTGCTTTTTTTTTTTTTGAAAATCCTAACCTAGGTGGAAACTTCAAACGGACGTATCTTTGTGTTCGGGTATCCGATCGTCGCGAATTTTTTTTTGATTCCGCATAACTTTTTGAGATCTTGCAAGCCGAAGACTGCCGAATGTGGTTTGGTCCCGCCTTCGTCCCTAAAAATGTCGTTTGCTACCCCGAACGAGCTTTTTTCCGATTTCGTCAAACTTTGGACAACCAACACTTTGTGCTCCAAAATCCAAACGACATGAATTTTTTTTTTATATCGCATAACTTTTTAAGGACTACAATTTTTGCTAGAATGAATTTTCAAAACAGGAATTATTTTGGATATACAGGATTTTGGGAATAGCTTACCTTCCCTTCTCACCGATCCACGTACATTTTGAAATTATGTCTATGATAAAAGTTGTATTCCTTAAAAATTTATGCGAAATAAAAAAAAAATTCATGTCGTTTGGATTTTGGAGCACAAAGTTATGGTTGTCCAAAGTTTGACGAAATCGGAAAAAAAGCTCGTTCGGGGTAGCAAACGACATTTTTTGGGATGAAGGCGGGACCAAACCACATTCGGTAGTCTTCGGCTTGCAAGATCTCAAAAAGGTATGCGGAATCAAAAAAAAATTCGCGACGATCGGATACCCGAACACAAAGATACGTCCGTTTGAAGTTTCCACCTAGGTTAGGATTTTAAAAAAAAAAAAAAAAGCAGATCGCATGGTGGGGGTGCGATCTGCAACCAAACCGCATGGTGGGGGTGCGATCTGCAAAACCGCCCCCTAGGTGGCGGTTTTCGCCTAAACCGCACTGGTAGGGAGCGGTTTTTGGGAAAGGGTGCTATTTTTGTAATTTTTCGGAGTTGGGTGCTATTTTTGGAAATTTTTTTTAAACAGTGCTATTTCTGGAAAAATCCCGGTTTAAATTGTTTTCTTAAATTCCAATGAGTGACCTTGTTGCCTTGAACCTTGATACCTCATACCTTCATTGGCTTCTTCCTCTGTTTCATTGCTCAAGGTCATGGGTAGGGGAAGATGACATCACTTACTTTGACCTCCATAAGTCCAAAAATGGCGGTTCCCGCCAAAAAAGCCCCCCATCTTTCCAACTCTCTTCACTTCCGCTCAACATAATTTCCCGTTGGGAGACGAACTCGGAAACCCCACTAGGCCTCAAAACTAAAAGGCATCCTCTGCCTCCAGGCCCGACGAAGCTCCCATTGATAAGAAACTAACACAACTTAGCGCTCGCTGTTAGGAACGGAACAACAAAAGGAACGAGGTTACCGAATCTGGAGCTGAGTCGCGGACTAGGTCGCTCTCTTTAAGACGTTCGCGGCACTGCCTTCGATGCGCACGACATACTATCAACCGGTCGTCTCCAAGATAAAACAGCTCCTCTCAATACTCGCGGTTTTGTGCGAAAACCGAAGCTCTCTAAACACTCTCTCTATTGTGTTTGTGCTCGTTGTGATGTGATTAGAGGGGCTGGGGAGGCGGCTATTTATAGGAGCCGAACCCCTAGGAATATACCCTCTTGCTTGGGAAATAAGTCGGATTAATTAAGGAAGATAATTACTTCCTTAATTAAAACCGTCGGTTAAGATAAACCCGGAGGGATTATCCTTCGAATATTCCTTTTCAGTCGATTATCCCTTAGAATATTCCTCAGAATAACCGATTAATAATTAATTATTAGATAATTAATTTCGTTCGGAATTTCTGTAAAAAATATATATGTAGTCTCAAGTGAACCAACCGACCGACCGACCGACCGGTCAGACGGACGGCGCGCGCGCGCGCGTGTGTGTGGTGGTCCGTTAGGTCCTCCCTTTCCCACAAAAGTGGGTCACCCCAAGGGGCAATGCCCTTGGGAGAGAGGCTCCTATCTTTATACCCATTTCACCAAGTAAAACTACCAATGTGGTAGTTTTTCCACTTGAGACTCTATAGCTTTCAAAGCTATTCATTTCCAACAATCCCCCACTTGAATAGTTTTGAAACTATCTCTGAGCATTAACAGTTCCATAAGATCGGGCATAAGCTAAGGTATCGCGAAGATTTGAACCTTAACGTAGTGGTTACACTTCCGATTTCATAAGGGTGACTCATAGTCTTGAACCCTATCTCAGACAGTGTAGCACACCGGATCTTTTCATTGAGTTGTGTTCTCTTCATAGCCCGTGCGTTTATGGCCATGCACGTTAACCTGGTTTAGTGAACGCTGTAGCAACTTTGTGCCTCCAAAGTTCCATAGGGAGCGACCCCACTCCCACATTCACATAGGTGAGTCTATCAGGAGTACCCCCAAAGTAAAGTACTCCACCCCACATAGGGTATAGATCTCATTAAGAGTTATTAACTCAACCTCCATTGCTTTGGGATTCATGCTTCACTATGCATGAACTTTTCGCATACTACTCATGACTTGTTATTACCCATTGTACCCATTTCTTGGGATCTTCAGTCTATTGGGTCGGGTTACCATCACTTGTAGTCCGTGGTTCGGTAGGCATAAGTCCCATACCCTTGGCGGTATTCTGGACTTTCTCTCTAGGTAATCCTTTCGTCAAAGGATCAGCTAGATTCTGTGCGGATCTTATATGATCCACCCTCACTGCTCTTATCGTTAGGAGTTCTCTTACAGTACTGTGCTTACGACGAATCTGTCGTTTCTTTCCGTTATAGAACCGGTTCTCAACTTTAGCGATAGCTGCGGTACTATCACAATGGATCAATACCGGAGGGACCGGTCTTTCCCATAGGGGAATCTCTGACAACAATCCTCTCAACCAACTTGCTTCTTCACTAGCCGTTGCTAGTGCTATCATCTCTGATTCCATAGTTGATTGAGCTAGGATTGTTTGTTTCTTTGACTTCCAAGATACAGCTCCACCAGCGATGTTAAAAACATACCCGCTGGTTGCCTTGGAGTCATCTGATAGGGTATTCCAATCCGCATCACTATACCCTTCTAGTACAGCAGGAAACCTTTGATAGTGTATACCAAGGTTTGCTGTTCTCTTGAGGTATCTCATGACCCTCTCTATAGCATTCCAATGCTCTCTACTAGGACAGCTGTTAAACCTGCCAAGCAATCCCACGACATATGCAATGTCTGGTCGAGTGTAATCCGCTGCATAACGGAGACTGCCAATGATGCTAGCATATTTTGATTTTCTTACACTGTCTCCAGTGTACTTAAAAAGCTTTACACTAGCATCATACGGAGTACACGCAGGTTTACAGTCGAAATAGTTATATTTCTTCAAGATCTTCTCTATGTAGCTAGATTGATCTAGAGAATAACCATTTGCTGTTCTAGTTATCTGGATGCCAAGCATAAACTTTGCTTCTCCCAGATCTTTCACTTCAAAGCTCTCTTTCAATATGGCTTTTGCTTCATTGACCACGTGAATATTTGTACCAAATATCAACATGTCATCTACATACAAACATATGATAGTGCAAGTGTTATTTTCTGACTTGCAGTAAATACACTTGTCACTTTCATTCACCTTAAAGCCATGTGAGAGAACGAGAGTGTCAAACTTCTCATGCCACTGTTTTGGAGCCTGTTTCAAACCATATAATGATTTGTCTAACTTACAGACTTTCGAGGCATGTTCGGGGATAACAAACCCTTCTGGTTGTTCCATATAGATTTCTTCATCCAGATCACCGTTCAAAAAAGCGGTCTTAACATCCATTAGGCGTACCACGAGATTGTTCAAGGCAGCAAGAGAAATCATTACACGAATGGATGTTATTCTAGATACTGGTGAATAGGTATCGAAGAAATCTATATTCTCTCTCTGCCTGTAGCCCTTAACTACTAGGCGAGCTCGGAACCTTTCGATTGCACCATTAGGTTTCCGTTTCGTTTTTAGAACCCATTTATTACCTAAGACTTTGCAGCCAGGAGGTAAGTCTGTTAGATGCCAAGTCTTATTAGCTTCTAACGATTCCATTTCGTCTATAACGGCCTCATTCCAAAAATCTGCATCTACGGAAGTTAATGCTTCCTGCAAACTTTTTGGATCTTCGAGGGTGAATACTGTAGTAAAGTC